ATTCATCACATACTTTTTCATACAGACAACGAGAAAAAAAAATACACCATATTATAGTCTTACAGAATATATTTTATGTTTTGCTTAATCAAAAAAATAACATTATTATAATTGACTATCTTGTTGTTTTTGAATATCAATATATCGTGTACACTGTTTTTTTTTTTTACACAGCTCGGTGATATCGTTGTATTTGCAATTTTCGCAGAAGCGAATGTTGTTGGATTTGTACACCGAATATCGTGTGTTGTTTACTATTGCTTACACTGAATCCTAAAGAAGTACTTTACTTTATTCGTTTAGTAAACTGTAACAACACATACCATATTTTACAAACAAACGCCAACTGAATCAGACCAATGGCGAATACGCCCTGCTGTTACCGGATGGTTTTATAGTTAGAAATATATAAATATTAAGATCATTGTCAACAAACTTAGAAAAATATTATTTTAAACGGTTAAAAACTGTATCGTCGCTATACCTAACCTAATCATTATTCTTTATATAAGACTAAACTGTTAATTAACTATTTGCATGTTGTATAATAATATTTATGTATATAGTTAGCTCAAACAAAATTATAACTATTTAAAATAGCCTTTTCATAATAAAGAGTCTACTATAGACTCGAATAAAGAATTGGTCCAGCATTAAAAAAGTTACAGTGTACACAGACACAAGAATATAGCCCTCATCATTGTAAATCCGCATCGAAGCTAAAAATGTTCTTCTACAGCGCCATGTTATATCTATCAAGTCCTCATTAGGTAAACAAATGGCTGTATTTTAGTTTACAAACAATCACGAGTAAAATATCACTTGTGTTACCAACATTATAAATTACAGTATACAACAGTCATCACTTAAGTGACGACGACCTATAGACGCCCAAATATATATATATATATATATATATATATATATATATATATATATATATATATATATATATTTATAATATTATTATAATATGTATAGCAAGGGCTGTGCAAAAAAATATCCTGCTAAATTCCAGATTTGTAAAATGGTGAATGTGGTAGTGTATTGGTTTAGATAAGTGTTTTTCTGTGGGCTATTACTCATTTTTTATTTGGTTTATTGTGATATACTAGTCCATTTCAACGACAAATAAAAATGTCTGTAAACGTTTGAAAAAAATAGCTATATTCGTTAAAATTGTTCTAGATACAAAAAAATGAATATCGTGAATTTGCAGTGAAAGAAAAAGCACTGGTCTATATCAATATTATAAGAATATTTATATTTTCTCACAGCCGCATGCGTTCCCCGGGTTGCGATTTGCGGTGCGTGCACGCGCTACCTAGGATACAGCGTAAAGTAAATAAGAAGATACAAAAATATTACCAACTGTCTATTGGTGATACACTTCAAGGTTTATTATAATATACTAGCGCATTTCGTACAAAACCAGTTCAGAGTAGAAAAAAATTCTAATACATCATTACTTGGAAACCTAAATTTGGCCCCCCGTTAAAAATGTCTGTACAAGTTTGAAAAAAATTGTTATAAATACAAAAAAAATAAGAATGTTTCTTAAATATTCATTAGGTATATCATGTGAAAAAAACTGGTCAATATCAAAATTTGAATAAATATTTGTAGAGTTATGAGCATTTTGAAAAATAAGCTGGAGGAAAAGCCATGATAAGACTGTCGAATAGAAATATGGTTTTTTTATTTTAGACACTTAAAACATTATAACTAGGCCAATGTTAAGGTTGTTGTTTTAGATATATTTCTTATTTAGATCATAGGCGTATATCTAACAGGTGACTGTTTGAATAAGCATACAAAATATCACAACAAAATATGTTTTCTTCTTATTTCAATAAATAACGCACCTTAAAACGAGTTTACTATTGATACGTTTCCGGAGAAGAGATTAAATATACAATAATTTTTTAGAAAAGTAATAACAAAGATAATGGTACAATACAACGAAACTGTTCTTACTTTTAATACTTTCACATCAATACTTACATCTGCATACTACCAAATTGCGTATTATTTTAAAATAACCATTTATAGTGTATATTTTAATTTGTATGTGCAATAGGTAACCAATAGTTGTAATTTTGTATGTCGTTAAATTAAAAATAAGCATCAATAATTGGAATTATCAGTTGTGGTGTCCAAGCGATAATAATTTATGCCTTAGGTAATGTGTAATAAAGTTCAATGGTTTTTCAACTCTCCAGCGGATACACGAAAAATTATTCATCGTCATGATTTAACTTACGTTCTACGATTTTCCTTTTGGTGATTACCTGTAAATAAGCTTAGCAAGTTTTTGCACTACAAGTCCATCGTTCTATGTTATTCATCAGTTTTTAGTGGAAACTAAATTTGAAACCATTCAACCTAACCTAACCTTTGGGTTTTACCTTTTTCGCTTATCATTTCTTTAGTTACTTTCGTTGTGCACAAATTAGAATTAAACGTTAAATCTATAATAACATTGATATGGGGATACCCACAGATAACAACTATATTGATATCCGTCAAACATTGACGAGGTAAAAATTATTACAACATAAAATACTAACATTATATCAAAACAAATTATTAATATAATTTTTTTGAAATCAGATTGTTTTGGTAGGAAATTACGCTGATAAATATTAAGTACCTGACAAGGGAGACAACAAGTAGTTTTTGACCCTAAAAGCAGGGCCGGACTTAGAGGGGTGTGTGGGGGGGTTTGACACCCCCCCCCCCACTCGGAAAACTCAAGTATACCTAGTCGGCACATTCCGAACAAAAAGTATTACATCCCCCATAAAATTATACAAATAACATATTTATTATTTTTATTTTATAAAAGTAGGTAGGTACATAATTTTTATTGGAATCTAGCGACGAATAGTGAATAGTCGGCATACGGACGACCATACGAAAATATAATTTTAGTTTTTAGTAAAAAAAAAAACAATGCATTTTCGGTTATTCCTGATTTTAGCAGAAGTATTATTATTTGTTTATAATAACTGTGGTGTATATTATTATATCAAACGATGTTCGGTCATGGGACCTATTGGTCTATTGTAAACAAACATTCTATCCCTCTATAAGTATATATTTTAATTTTAAAATTATAAAAAATTCCCTACTATTAAGAAAAACCTACTCTTCTGTTTTAGACACATCACATAACCCATAGTATTAAGTCTGCGGGCAAAGAGTTAGCGGGTTTATTTTTGCTTGTCCCGTGTGCGCGTGTAAAATAATAAGTATTGGTTATAAATGTGTGTAATCTTTCTTTCTTTCTTCTTCTTCTTCTTCCTCAGCTTATCGGCCCATTAAGTGCCATCGCTGCCATCACAAAACCTCTCCATTTCTCTCTATCGTATGCGTCGTCAAAAGATGACTCTTCTTCTATGTTTTTGATATCTTGAGCTATAACATCCACCCATCGGGTCCTTGGTCTTCCTAATGGACGTTTTTTATTTATTTTGTTAACTAAGACTTCTTTTATTACTTGTCCATCCGCTCTCCAAACATGGCCGAACCATTCTAGTCGTTTGCTTTTTATATATGAAATAATATTTGGCCTGTTATATAACTCCTGTAGTTCTTGATTTTTCCTTCTTTCGTAAGTTTGTGTTTCTGCATTGAATTTCGGGCCGTATAAATTTCTCAGTACTTTTCTTTCGAAGGTCATTAGTCGTCTGCTGTCTCCTTTGGTCAGTGACCATGTTTCACTCGCGTATGTGATTATTGGTCGTAGATAGCTATGATACAGTAGTGTCTTTGAGTTATGTGACAGTAGTTTTGATTTAAGGAGTCTCCTTATGCTATAGTAGCATCGATTGCCGCATGCTATTCGATCATTGATTTCTTCATGCATGTCGTTGTTGCTATTTATGTTAACACCTAGGTACTTAAATACCTCCACTTTCTTGAAACTATAGTCATCTACTGTTATGTGGTCTATGTTTGGACTTCTTCTTGTTACCATTAAGTATTTTGTCTTTTCCTCATTTACACACAGCCTTTAATAAGGCTATTTGAATTATATCTCGGTTAAATTGCAGTTTCAACTGCAATACGTTATAATTATGTTAAATAAATTCAAACATTTTTAAAATAATGCTTTTAAAGTAGGGCTCAAATTGTTTTAGTATTGGTAACTGAGAATTGAAAATGTAGTAATAAATAAATTTGTTAGCTGCCTAAAATATTTCTCTACTCCAAAAACATTTTAAAAATCAAAAAAATCAAGTCACAAAATGTCATAAAATATTTACGAAAGTACCCAAATATTTTAGTCGGCAATTAAAATTTTAAAGTCGGCATCTTCATTTTGACACCCCCCCCCCCTTGCATGCATATTTCTTAGCTCCGGCCCTGCCTAAAAGTTACGATAAACAAGGGAGGCAATTCGTTGTTTTTGTAAGGCAACTGGTGTGCGCCCAAAATTAAATACAGTTTTATGAAAACAAAAATTATAATAACACTAAAGGCTAGTACTAAATTATTTATTTAGTTTACAAATTTTTCATAAAAATAAGTATTGACTACCATTTTTTTTTTAAATATTTGGTGTGAACGATATTTATCCAAAAGTAGATATTTATTAATAATATTATTATCCTATTATGTACTAATTGGAAACGTTAAAAATGTAATTCAGCAAAATTCTAATTGGAATACTCTAAGGTTCTAAAATATTGTAAAACCGTGATATAAATTAAAAAAAATACTATTTCGAATATAAAAATATTTTACTTATGTTTTTCACTTAGAAATTTTGGCACAGTCAATAGTTAGGCCAAAATATAAAATAAATTTTCACTGAAACTCATTAATGTAAACATTAGATACATTGTTTTGTAAAACCAAAGAAAAGCATAATCTAACTCCGTGTCAAAGTAATGTATGTACGCCGTAAGTTAAACATAAAAAAAAAATGAGCCAACTGTGTTAATAAACAACCATAGTACCCTGCAAAAACCTATTAGATTCTGATTTTGCGGCCGAAATATACCTAAGCTCGTTCATAAATCACACGAAGAACATACAGTTGCAAAAGCCGATCAAGTCGATTATTGTCTAAGAAATTCTATCAGCTCAACAATATCCAGTAAGTATTTCTATCAAACACTGAAAATTGTTATTGCGTTAAAACTAAAAAGGAATGAGCTTAATGATAAAACACTTTTAGTGTGAAAAAGACAGTCATGAGTATTTTCTATTACTAATTATTTTTAAACGGGCCTAACGGAGTTCTTTAACATCGTTATTGAGAGAACGGATTTCTTATATTTTTTTTTTCACCAAAGCAGATACAATAAATGCGTTTTGCACAATTCACATTTTGGGGAGAATTCTAGTTTTTTCATTATTTAGCTTGATGTACACTATAGCGTACAGTGAAAAAGTGTTTTTATCTGTGAGCATTACTCAACCGCGCTTCCCCTCCCGTCATAAGTTTTAAAATTAAATAACTTGAAAACTAATTATCCAAAACTGGTTATCGACCAGTCAAAATGTTCAGCAAATTTTTTCTATATTAAAAAGTTAATAAAATATGTGTCACGATTAAAATTTTTTAATCTCATACGGTTTAAAAACATACAAGGGATGGGTTTATATTTTTCAAAAATAAATTAAGTTTTATAAAATTTAAAAAAAAGACTAATGTCTTCTAAGTTATTGACTGGTCTATAGTTAACTAATCACCCAGTATATGTATCATATACAAAACAGCCCCGCAAAACCAAAACCTTCTAATTTGTGCTCTAGAGGCAACTGGGATTAATAAAAATTGCTTTTATGCTTATTATTATTTACAGATCAAGTTGAAACTTGTAGGTTTTGTTTGCTAAACACTAAAAGAGGTATACAAAAGTCGACAAGTCCAAACGTGAAATCCATTCTGTTGAAATTTTTTGAACTTTTGCACCAGTGTAAAATAAAAAACTTCTAAAGATGAAATCTATTATTTTCCTAATATCGTTTTCAAATGTTATTGTATCATTTGTTGATGGAGGTAACTCTCTCCCAGGTAACACATTAAAATGTTTTTAATACTTTTATATGCATTTTATTTGTACAAGAAGGTACATACATTATAATAAATTATGCACTTGTGTTTCGGAGAAATGGCATATGATAATTGTTTAGCTTGTCAACGTTTGTCGGTAGTACTATGTTTAAAGAATTTTCTATACAAATTTGGAAATAATTGAACTATTTTGAAAAAAGATATGAAGCGCCGTAATTTTAAGTTGACAAACATGTACATTTTTCAGGGTTTTTGCTCAATTTTTAAGGGGAAGGGATGAACTTTTAAAATTTTTCTAATTAAGTACCTTACAGGTACGATTTCTGACCTTAATAGCAGCTACACGAAGAAATCGGTTCAGTGGCTTAAAATATATTGTGGGTACAAACACAAAAATATAAAAATTAATTACATCATTATAAATACAATACCTCTTCACTTATCGCATCGAACCTAACCGTTACGTATCAAGACAGGCTAAATTATAAATGTATAAACATTATAGTCTTTATTCTTAACTTTGAAAACCACTTAATTATTTTATTTAGCTTCGAACACATTGGAAGGATGTGAGGTCATAGTTGATGAAAGAAATAATAATAGTAAGTATAATCAGTTGATTTTAAATACTAAAAACTCATAAGTAAACTATTTTGTTTTAAAATTAAGTAATCAAACACAATCTTTAATGATGTCATTACTCTACAAAATGTTTTGCCCTTATAAGGAAGTCTGTTGGGGAAATAAAACAATGTTGATATTTTAAAAATAGTTTACAAACAATTCGGTTTATTTATTTAAAAGATTTACTTAATACGTTTGTTTTCTTAATAAGTTTACCCAATCATATTATTTCCCATTCCATTAAATTTCACTTTCCTGAAACACAGAATTGTACTTTTATTTGAAATGTTAGAATTTATAAGCCATTTCATATGAAGAGGAAATGTTTTGCAATTTTGATTTCAGTTTTGTATTATGTGTAGGATTCAGCTTTGCCAACCTATATCATAAACGTTTTTTAAGCCGAGAGCTATAAGTATTAAGTATTGGTTAGAGTTGTACTAGTTGATAATGTGGTGCCACTGGTCAATGTGATTGTTTGTTGGTGGGCCTGTTATGGCTGACCGATATTTGTAAAAAATATTAATTATGGTTATGTTCTGTTCGGGACAAATATGTCCAATTGTCGGTTCCTATTTCGTTAAATACTATTGTATAAATTACTATGAATTATATTTTCTAATTTGTCAGTTATTACCTAAGTCTTTATTTATTTACCTGCGGGTTAAGAGCCCACAATAATCTCACGGAATTTGTGTTAGGTAATTATTTTATAGTAGTAATGACATTGACTATATAAAATGTATATATTCCAACGTATTATTCATGTTTCAGATAATAGGGGAACGGAAAGTAAGTTTTAAATTAACATATTTATGTATACAAAATCCGTCATCAGGATTTAACAAATGCTATAACTGTTTTATAAAAATTAATTTTTTTCCAAATTCTTTATTCTAATTAGTCGACTTTATTTGTCGAAAATAAATAGTACCGGATAACACGATCTCAGAACAAGAACAAACATTTTCCACAAACTTTTTATGTTCTTAAACCCATCGCAATTTAGTTATTTTTATATTAACTTTTGCATTTTAAATGGTAACGCATAGATTCAATTAAACTTTTAAATTGAGAAAAATACACATTTCACTATGTAAATGTTGACTGGTCGAAAGCCAGGTATGGATAACTATTTTTGTAGTTACTGAAGTTTTTAATTTATAACTGGAGGAATGGTGAAGTGCAGAATTTTTTTTATCTTAAAGCACTTTTCCTCCCGTCCTAACTTTTAAACTCTTATAACTTTCAAAAGAGTCGTTCAAAACTGGCCATCAACCGGTCAACTTTTTTAGTAAAATGTTCTCAATTTAAAAATGACTAAAATAGGTTACCGTTTAAATTTCAAAAGATGCTATCAAAAAAACAAAGTGGGGAGGGGTTAAAAAGACAAGTGGGAAAAGTTGAGATCACATCGTATAAACACAATATGAGAAAAAATTAAATTTCTTATAAAATCCTATTACATATTGAGTGGCCTATGATCAAAGATGCACCCTGTACACGGTTGCTTAACCAAACCATTGACTAACAATATAATAAGAACATATTCAAATTCTTATTGACTGTCAATTTGTACACAGCAACCCAGAAATTAAGATATAAATGTGTATATATATATATTTATCATATAAAAACAGGATCGCAAAATTAAAAATTCTAATCTCCGGGTTGGAGTCCACTGGGATTTATACAAATTGCTCTTATGTTTAATATTATTTGTAGATAAAAATGACATTTTTCTGTTTTATAGCTTTAAATCCTGTATGTGCTTCGGAAAATTATAAAGGTTATTATTTTATTTTTACAAATACCAACTTAAGGTAGGTGATACAAATTTGAAAAATAATCCAATCACTTTTTTACAGAGAATTATAGGAAGAAGGTTTTAATCACAAGTCAGTAACATTTTTGTATCATTGCAAATAGTTTTTTAAGTTTTTAAAGTTGGCTGTTTTTATACATATTTTTAAAATTATGTATTGCAGATGCATTTATTGAGCATGCTTCTAGCGCAAGTAAGATATATTAAAAATGAATATGCTAATAAATAAAAGTTTGTTTTGTGTACCTAGTTGTCCTTGTACCTAAATTTTATCAATAGTAAAAAGTATACCAAGTATGTAGTGTTAAGTTAAATGGTTACTGCTTAAAGCAGGGTTTGTTAATTAATATTATTCTAAAGATTTATATGGTATCTAATTTTATTTTATTTCAATATTTTAGTACACCCCAAATCTTTTTTTATTTATTCTAGATATATTGGAGCAAATAATTAATGAATTGATTGATGATAACGATGATTACGAAGAATTCGGTAGTCATAATTATAATAATAATAATAATAATAACAATAGTAAATCGAAGTAAAAAGTAGAAAAAATATTTGATATAATATAAAAATTGAAACTAAAATTTATCTTTGTGCAACTGATAAGTGATATAAACATTTCATTTCTCCCTAAAATCTAAATGAAATCTTTATGAAAAAATACAGACGTTAGCTCCGTCAACCTTTTAATTTTATTGTTATCCCCACAACCGCTTATATTCAGCCTTTATATTTTCATAAAGATGGAAATCTTTATAAAAATATAGTAGCTGTCTATAACTATCTATACCCATCTTTATGTTATATGGCTATAATAGTCTATTTATATTTTTTTTCTACTTTGTTCGTCTTCTAATTTATATCTCTATATAATATCATAATTTATAATAGCAAACAAATTTTAATATCATTTATTTATGTTGTGTTAATTTCAGTTACAATCAATTCGATGATAGCTGTACCGGGTAATATTTGTTGAATTTTGATGAAAATATTTCATTCCTATGGAATTTCCCAAAGAGATTCCCAACGTATTGAATATACAGTGGAGCACATTTCTTAAACCCTTGAGCTTTCTCGTCTTCTTGTTTATTATATAATATAAAATTAAATTCAATATTATTTATCTATGTAATGTTTTTTTCAGAATTACCACAAATGTTAAACTTAGTGGGTAATAATTTGAATTGCCTATTATGGAACTGTTTCCACACAGTTATTTTATATTCTTTATGCAAACAAGATTTTTTTTTTTAGATTTAGTAGAGTCCTTGCCATTCAAAGATATTCAAGATAGTAATTACATTTTTATATATCATATGTTTTATACTTAACGCATATTCATTGTGTATAGATACTTTGAGAATAGCCATATGTAGCTATTAAAGAATACTCACAAGGCATTTTGGTGTCAATCATAAAACATATGAACGTACATTAAAATATATTTTGTATTAATTTTAGATTCAATGCATTACCAGAATGAGATGCAGCTTAAAATAAAAAAATTATTAGGTAAATAAAAAATGTCTAACTAAACTAGTTTGTAGTTCTAAAGAAACACGATAAAAAATAGGTTAAAAGCTTAAAAACATAAAGCTGTATATGTGTTATGCTTAAATTTTTAAAGATCATTCGATATATAATATATAAACTGTTTAAAAGTTGCTATTTGAAATATTTGAACGTTCACACAATAATATTTTGCATTGATAATTGATTATTCTCAATGGGTGACTGTAATATACAAAAAATTAAATGGGAGATGGGGTAGATTTGGATGAAAATCATATCATATTTTTAATTCATTTGAAAATTTCATCCGTTAATTTAAAGGTTTGTTTATCTAATAATACTATTTCTAACCTCACTAATCAAGTACTTTATAATCTAGAAATGTTATTCAAATCTACTCCAGTAATGGTCATATTTGAATGTGTCTCACTAATATGGTAAAATGTGTACAGTACAATTTATTTATTTTGTATAAAATAATTTTTCTGTATTTAAAGTAAATATAGAACTATAAATATTCTCTCATGAGTAGAATCGAAGTGAGGTCATACATTTAAACCCACCACATTTTATAATTGTTAATAAATAGTATTACACCAGATAAAATAGTTACAATAAATTAACGTTGGGTAGATACATTGATAGAAAACCAAATTTTGGATTTCAATACATCGTTTTGTACTTGAGATTAACGAGTTTGCAAGTAAACAAATTCATGCGAAAATAAAAAAACCCATGAAAGACATTATTATTTTACGCTGATAACACAAACCAATACTTCAAACACATAATAAGTTTGAAATCAGAATTCACTGATAACACAAACAATACTTCAAACTGCGTGATTACTTAAAATATTTATTTCTTGTAATTTTCAGTCCAGTGAACATAGTTTTATCAGCATTATTCAAATGTATCCTGCATTCAAATTCACCCTATCCTCCCCTAAATCGGGTTTTATAAGTTTTTTAATGATTTAATGTGTGTGTGTGTGTTACTGGACTTGGTGATTCTGAAATTGATGAAACCGAAAGTAATTACGAGATTTCCGATAGTCATAAATGACATTTTTATTTATCTTATAAGTTATAATCAGCCTGAAATCAGAATCCGCTGATAACACAAACCAATACTTCGAACAACCTGACTGTTTTTTTCTCGATATTTTCAGCTCATTAAAAATAGTTTTATCAGCATTATTCAAATGTACCCTGCATTCAAATCAACCCTGTCTTTCCCTACACCGAGATTTATTAACTGCATATTGATTTGATGTATTTGTTACAGGACTTGTTGATGAGCCTGCAATTGATGAAACCCAAAGTAATTACGAATTTTCCAATAGTCAAATTGGTCTCTGTCAACTATTTAAATTGCATTGTGTAAAAAAGTTAGGTTATACTATTTTTTATTAAACCCTATGAGATATTAAGTGATTCACGATAAAATGATGAACCTGTATATGTTCACGCCAACCTAAAGTGGACTAGAATGTTAATATGTAATACGTTCTTTGGGATTTCAAGTATAGAAAGAATACTTTCGTTGAGTTTAAATACTAATGCAAAGTTGTACAAAAAAATTAGTTAAATCACGATTCTTTAATATGTGATACAACTATATTATGCACCACAAGCAACTAAAATATATTTATTTTATTTCGACTTTATGCGGATATGTAATAATTACATTCGTTGATTTTGTAGAAGTAGATTTGGAAATTCTTGGACAAAAGAGAAGAAATTGTACTAGACCAGTTTTAGAAAATATAATCCAACGTGTATTAGGTAAATATTAACATGGAGTTATATGGGGTTTGAACCATTAATATATTTATTATTATTATTGATATACACTAACGCATACTGTCTTGTAACACAAACTGCATGGCTAAAGCATACGGTCATCATTCATATTCTAAAATGTTTAGTTACGTTATTTTAACAAATAAGATAGTTGTGTCTTACACCATACAAAAAACAGTAGCTAGTTAGCTAATTTTAGCAAAGTAAAATTTTTTTTTTAGATCAACCCGAGCAGGATGTATGGGATAATGCCACTTTAAGACGGGTGTGTCGTATGCTAGGAATATACATAAGTGCACAATTTCCAGAATCACACATAAACATCCTTCGGATTAAGTACAGCTTAGGTGATTGTATTCTATATCATGGACCTCAAGAACACTTAATATACAAAAAACAAGATGGCGCATGGGGGCAATTAAAGGAAGATGGTTCATTTCATCTACTTAAGGATCAGTTAGCTGAAAACCGTAAAAAAAACTCCAATGACCTTTGATGACAAGGATCTGTAAAGCAAATTAATATGTATATATTTACTTGTTTTATTAAATATATCAACGGATAAAAATATAAATTATAAAAATACAATCACAGATAAATATAATTTATAAATGCATATTTAAATAATTATACATAACCATTATCAGTATTGTAAGGTTTTTATTTATTACAACGTATATTTTTTTAATATTTATTGTTCAGTTACACTTTTATTGTAACTTTGCACAATTTTCATAATCTTTATTGTTCACCTAAAGACGATTTTAAAAATAAACTATTCCAGTTTAACCCAAGTACGGTAAAGTCCAGCGCAAAATTAAGTACTGTAAAAATCAGCGGTGTGAAAAGTTAGCAAATAGGAGTCAAGACAACTACTAAATCTGAAAGTGATTTCATATTAACTGAATGTTTATATTAGAATTTAAACAACCAACATAATATGCGTAAAATTAAAGAAGAGCCAATAATAATAATTTTTAAAAAACCTGATTTAGAACCAAATATTAAATATTCACCTGTTATAGCTACTGAGATGTTTAAAATTGTAAATTAATTATAGTAACAAATGCCTGTTTATTGTGGTATGTATGAAAAAGGAACTACTAAACGCTAAATGCTAAATGCTAAACGCTATACACTACAAGGTTACCCAAGAGTTCTTGAGAATTTGTTTACTGACAATTATAGAGCTATTATTTATATAAATAAAATTTTTTAAGTTGGATGCTAAATTGCATCTTAGTTTCTGAAATAAAGTATAAAATACACCATAATCGATACGACTATTATAAAATTGAAAAGAAATACTATTAGAAATATTAGTTTTCAACGTATCTCTTAAATTCTATGGTCCTCTTCAATACTTATGTTTTATTAGGTTATAGATTTGTATGCATAATTTACAGGTGAACATAATTGACAGATGGTATACCTACAGTATTAACAAAAATCATCATCGAAATTCTTTTTAATTCTGATCACTTCAATTGTTGGAATTAGAAGTATACATTATCAAATCCCTGTTTTTAGTCTACCTCAACATGTACTGATTTGTAGACGTACCATTATAATTGTTAGAGATCCAATAAATACTTATATATTATACAGAGCATAAATATCGTGGAGTGATATCATAATTTTTTATTTACAATTACATGTAAAATTAAAATACTGAGATAGTGAACAACAAAACTAATCATATAATTTGCATTTCCAACAGGCCTATACAAAAAACACAGTACAGTAGTGTATAAATTAAAACAACGGGATAGAATGGAAAAATTATTTAAAAAGTAATATTATTCCTATACAAATAAAACAACAATAGGAACGTTAATATTATTTAGTAAATTAAAAAAAAATAAACATTTTAACTAACATAACGTGTCAAACACGATCAACCGATAATTGATTAATAATAATTATAAGTTTATATAGGTAAGTAGTAACAAACTACAATATATCGTTTTCATGTCGTTTACCGATATCATGATTCATACAGCGATTTGACATGATAAATATTTTAGGTGGTTCACTTTTTCCTTAACTTGAGGTTTGTGCGTTATTTGGGTATATTTCTAAAAGTTAAAGTATAAGAAAAACCACGGGTGAAATGCCTAAAAGAATAAAATCAACGCTATAAGAAAACACTCTAAAAACTTGTATAAATTAAAATACTTTCAAAAAAACAAACATTTTGAAGTCAATGAATCTTAAAGCAACATTAACAGCCTAGTTTCATTTATACGCGATTGTGGAGACATTTCTGATATTCACACCAGGTTTTCCACAAATTCGATTAGGCACGTCGTCGAGTTATTCACTTTGTTTATATAATTGTGAACATTTCTCGTTGACAGGTTGGTTTACTTCAAAATATTCAATTTTTTAATGTATAAATCAGTAATTAGTGAGAATGCACCGATTGTTTCATTTCATGTAAATTCAGCCTAACATACCTAGCCGAGCGCCGGCTGTTCTAGCTCGCAGCCGAGGGTTCAGACGTTCGTCAAGCCTTATTTTCACTCACTTATAATTCCCATCCCACTTTAAAACTACCAATTTTATAGTAAAAAGTCAAGCTTTCCATCTATCTAACTTTTAAAAAAAAATCAAAAGAATCGCAAGAGCCAAAAATTGCAAAAATATTTTTTAAATTGATTTTTTTGGGGTAAAAAAATAAGTTGACGAAATTTAAGTTTTGGTTTTCCAATAGGTGTGGGTGACACAAATTCATAAAGCATAGCAACATATTTTTACATGCAGGCACGTCGAAAAACTAATATTACCGTTGAAACGGATCAGAAAAGTTTTGAGTTAAGACAATAAAGTAAGTGAGTTTTTTTTTTGTACCTATTGAATTGTTTTTCATCGATAAACGCATGAATAACTGCACGCAATATCGTTACATATGAAAACTAAGTACAGTAGTACTTGACTTTTATTTTGTAAGCAACTGTTTTACAGGCGATGATTATTTTAAATATACAACAGTTTATTATACAGGAATAAAATTTCAATAAAATTCATATCATTCTAAAAATTTCATCTCTTCCCCTTCAAAATCTGTGGCAATATTTGTATAGGAAAAAAAATATTGTATAAGCTAGGTAATAGTAAAATATTAAGTGTTTTTATAAATTATTTTACAAGATGTACCTATCTAAGTTTGTAAAAAACGAAAAATATCTTTCATCGCGCATTAAAGGGGAGTTGGATAACTTGATGAAGTTGTACTAGCGGCTGTTGTTAAAAACGCCCATACAAATACAATAATATACGCACACATATTTCCCGTTCATATTTACTTGTTGAAATTTATTTTTTTTTTGCCGGGTTCACTGAATACTTATTTTAACGTAAGCCACGTTATATTTTTGGAAAAGTTGTAATTTTGTGGTTATTTTTTATAGCTATGAAAATACTTTATTTGTTTTTTCCAACATGAATTATAATACAATTACTGAATTCCAAAATCCTCTACATTAGCATTTGTTGATACACGAAAAAGATATTACTGATGTTGCAGAGAACTTAACGCCGTAGAATATGAAAAATAGATACAGGGAAACATCCGGCAGTAATTTTTTAAAAAATGGCGATATGGTTGTCTTAAAATTTGTGTCCATAATCGTAATTCGTAATAGAAATTAGATCATTTTCGTTACATGCAATTAAGTTTAATTACAAGTTCCCTGTTGACCAGTTGACGAAGTCTAACTTTTATTAATATTTAAACAAAGAACAATAAAAAATATATATTTACCCATCTATCAACGCCACCACTCTGCACTGCCAACTAGTTCATAGCCAATTTTGGGTAATAACTTTTAAAGCTAGGTATAAATGATAAAAATTTAAGACAAAATTAAGGGTGAAGTGTAGTATTATTTTTATTTGCATACGTTGCCGACCGCACTTCACCTCCCGTCCTAAATTTTTAATATAAAAAGTATTTATTAAAAACTGGTTAACATTTTTACCAAATTATTCCTAATATAAAATATTAGTTAAATATACGTTCCCATTTCAGTTTTAAAAGTTAATAGTGCTCTGGCAATTATTAAAAAATGTAAATATTTAGTGATTTAATAAAATAATAAAAAAAACCCGTAGCCATAAAAATTATATACTCTACGCGCGGAGAGTATATAACCATAAGTGCTTAAGTTTTTTCTAGATTTAGTGATTTCATAAAAACATTATAAAACAAAAATAATTTCAAAAAGAAAAACTATATAATTACTTTAGGAGAATATTTGTGTCTTATATTTAAAGAAATACCCTGTACTTAGGGTTGAAACATACGTTAGAGAACTAACTTATGGTTAGAATATAGAAATTAAAAAACGAAAGTCATTTAAATTAGACAAAATAGGATGTGCGTGTTATTTAAAACGGTATTGTTTTTCTTTTTTGCTTATTTGCCATTTTTTCGAGAAAATTTACCATTTTTTATGTTTATTAATCAATCTATCATAGAGACCCATTTACTCTAGAGGACATCCCAGATGAAATGTCTGTGCATACATATGGTCACCAGCTATCACAACAAAATAGTATTTTTTTAATATAATTGTATTTTATAATTTTATATATTTTGTTTTAATAAGTGCCAACCCTGCTATTAAAGCGTGTCGAATAATTAAAAATAAATTACCAAAGTAGGATTTAAAACATTTAAACATAAAAAAAATACTTAAAGCAATACAAATTTCGAATTTATAATACAACGCTATATATTACCAATTGAGTACACGTTCAAAATTTTGCTGTTATTCAATACCATTTATTTATGCGAACAACAAGAAAATATATTATGTTTTGAACACAACATCAATAAGTTTACAAAAATGGTTCGAATATCCATTAAATTTAAAATGCTTTTATTTTGTAAACGATTACTAATTTACAGGCAACAAATAATATTAGTCATATATTTTAAATATTTTTCCTCAGTTAAATTACAGTTGAATTTAATAGCAATTTGTCTTTTTATTATATTACTCTCTAAAAACCAAATATCAAATAAAACAGCCTTAATAATTAGCTTGGAATAATCTTGCAATGAAGTACTATCGCTATGCGTTCAACATCTAGCATTCATAAAAATTCCCTAAAATTAGTCTTAAAAGTAGATTTAGTTTTACTCAAGCGCAAAACTTTTAAATTGTTCAAGGCTTCATTAAAGTTTTTTTTTAAGAATTTCGAAGTAATATTGGATTGAAACAAACAGTTAACTCTAAAATGGAATTTACTGTCGGCCTTTTTAATAAAGTCAACGCAAATAACAACGATTGGAATTAATTAACGTAAAACGAATTTAACAACTTCTTTTTGTGTTTACAGCATTATTCTATATTATATTGTGTAGACTACAGTTACTTCGATTATCTTACTATAAATTCTATCCACTACGCTGCGTGAATACCTATCGTATATTTTTTGTTTTCTTACCTAAGACGAATTCTAAAGTAAAAAAAACAGTACAGTGGCAGCGGGAAATAGCGGGGACGGGAAGGTCACAGAGTCACAGGAATTGTTTTAATCTGAAAGTGATAAAATCACTTTCGAAAAAACAGGTTAGA